ACAACTCTTTGCATGGTCCCAAGACTGTGTGCATTATCTTAACTTTAGGGTGAAGAAAACTAAGGCTTAGAAAGAGTCTGTTGCTGGGTCAAGGTCACACAGCCAGGCAGTGACAGACTTTAAGCAGGGGAGCTGGCAATGGCTTGACAAGGACAGCATGCAATGTGTCCTGCTACAGGTCCAGCCCCAGGGTAGGGGGTGGGGACTATCTGGGGGCCCTTCCAGGGGCCCTAGCCTGTGTCCACAGTCAGGCACTGGGTAGAGAGAATGCAGCAGACCAATGTAGAAGGGCCCCAGCAGGGATATGCTATGTGGCCTTGAGGTGAGGAGCAGGCCTAAACTACACTGCCCTAGGGCTATTTTCTTTGTAAAGGCCCTGCCCCCTTGGGAGGAGGGCACTCTAGCTGCCTTCAGCCTGGTGAGTCACTGTGGCGGCCCAGGGGGCACCAGGGACCGTGGGAATCAGGACAGATCTTACTGGAGGGGGAGGGGAGAGGCAGCCTGAGGAATCCCACAGAACCCTTCATCAGCTAGGGGCCCACAGAGGGCTGCCTCCCCTGCCCACAGAGCTTCCCCCTTCCTACCGTCCCAGCCTCCAGATCCAACCGGGCGCAGCCATGGAAAGGCTGCAGCTCTGTAGAGAAGTATAGTGGCTACCCTCACCCCAGCACTGCACAGGGGGCCCTGACCCTGCCGGGCGGCAGGGCTAGAAGCTTTTCAGACAGTCCATTGGCCTCTCACTCTCAATGACCTTTCTGGCGAGGGTTCGACCGGCAGGGTGGTGGGCGGCTGTTGGAGTCCGCCAAGAGAAGGAATCTAGGCTTGCTCAAAGCCCCAGTGTTAGGGACGCCCACGGGAGAGAGTCTTGCTACCACTGGGGACCACAGGAAGGGATAAGAGAGGGAGCCTCAGCGAGAACAGAAGGCTCGGCTTAGCCCTTTGCAGTGGCGTTTTTGGGGTGGCAAATGAGGACCCACAAGCCTACCTTCTGGAGCAAACAGGAAATGAGTTCTGCTGTGAAATCCTTCCAGGGGACTGGCTGCACCCAAGTCACCCACATGGTGACCCCTAACCTGGCCCTCTTGCCGCTGCCCACCCCCAGGCCCCACCTCATCCTCAGCTCTGTAGTTCTCTGTTCCAACCAAGATTCCCTGCCAAAGACTCCTTTCCATCTCTGCTGGCCGCATCTCTCCAGCTGGGCTGCCTGGATGCCCTCACGGACACAGACTGGGGGGCAGGGTGGGGGGAGATAGCTTGAGTTCAGGCCCCGCCTCGGCTAGTTCTCAGCTGTGCGTCTCTTAAAAAACCCTTAGACCTGCTTCTTCGTCTGTATGTATAATGGAACCGAGAATAGACATTTGTTGAAGACAGGACACTTGACACACTAAGTTAAAAGTTCACAACGTTGGTGGTCACTCCAGGTCTGCCACGCCACCTAATAGGTGCACAGCTTCTATTTGTCGAGTGGAAGTTGGCCTTGAGCACACACCTGTTTGCCAACCAGGTGACCTCTCCAGGGAAGCAATCACTTCCCAAATACCAGTGTCTCCCGACAGACACATGTTCCCACTGGGAGTCTACATCCCTGCAGGTCTCTGCTCTTGGGACCTCCAGTGGGTGCCCCCGGCCCATACTTAGCCCTTCCATCCCACCCTCTCCTTATCTTCAGGACTCTGCTGCCACACCCATTCACACACCCGCCAGGGTGCCGTGGTACGTCCTAAGGGCACCCACAGTCTCCCTAAGCACACTCTAGGTGTCACTCCCTCTCAACTCAGCACGCACCTGTGGCCCCCAGCTGCAGACCTGAGCTATAGGTGCTCTGTCTTCCGGGAACACAGGGGTACCTTGACAACGCAGACGCCCCCCCTCCCCCTTAGGTGTGTGCACCTGTGACCCAGCACACTCCCGGGCCAGCACCACTGCCAGCAACCAATCCTCCGGGACATCTACATCCCTGCGTACACAATGGATCCCCGCACAGGCTCCCCAGGCCCCGGCGTACCTGTATGTTACGTTTATTCTCGCAGGACGGCCCGGTGCCCTGCACCACGCTGTCCAGGACCGCCACCACGTCGGGCGCCGGCTCCACGAAGCAGGCGGTGCGCGCAGCACGGATGGCCGCCTGCACGTCGGCGAAGCGGAAGACACAGAGCGCGGCCGGGGCGTTGCGGGCACCTGGGGCGCCCTGGGGCCGCTCGAAGACGGCGAAGAGCTGCTCGCGCACGGGGAAGACCGACACCAGGCGGCTGTAGAGGTCACCGCGGCCCGCGCCGCCGGCGCACTGCAAACCCAGCTGGATGTAGGACTCGGTGAGCTTCTTGGCGTCGCCGCCCGCGCCGCGGGGCAGGCAGATGCGCGCCAGCAGGCTGCGCGCCTGGCTGTCCTTGTCGCCCGCACGCGCCTCGCTGTTGAGCGCCAGGTACGCGTAGGGCTGCGCGCCGCGCGGAGGCGCCGCCGGGTGCAAGAAGGCGCTCACGAAGCCCAGCTTGTACTGCTCTTTGGCACCTTGCTTGATCTTCAGGATGTTGTCGTCGGACGGGTTGAGGTCGAAGGTGAAGAGCTTGGCCAAGTTTCCACGCGCGTCCAGGGAGCGGATGGCGATCTCGGGCGTGTTCTCGAAGCGGTGGTCTTCCAGGCTACGGTTGCGCGGGAAGAAGGCGCTGCCGTAGCCGGTGTACGTGGCGCCTACAAGCAGACGGCTGCCCCCCGTGCCCGTGGCCGGCGGCAGCACCAGCCCCACGGTGGATGCATTGGGGTGGTTGGCGGCCACGTTGAGCATGCTGGGGAACACGGTGACCGGTTCGGCGGGCGGCGCGGCAGGCGGGAAGCGCACGGCCAGGGCCGAGATGTTGCCCCGGCGCCGCAGCTGGCACAAACCCTGGTAGATGGAGCCGCACGCGACCACCAGACCCTGGCCAGGGTCCAGCTGCAGGATTTTGTTGTAGTTGTCGGTGAGGCGCCGCGGGTGCTCGCACGAGGCCTGCGGGAGCTGCGGGGCGTGACACAGCGGGCTGTCCGGCACGGGGCCCACGGTCGCCTCGGCCTCCAGGCTCAGGTTGGCACTCGACAGCTGATACAGGCGGTTCACAGCCGCGAGGTACACGGTGCCCGCCGCGCCGTCCAGGGCGAAGTTGTTGGTGGGCGTGGGCGAAGGGAAACGGCGCTGGATCTCCAAAGCGCCGGCCCGCGCCGCCCCGAGCAGCAGCAGCAGAGGCAGCGGCGGCAGACCGGG